TTTTCTTTTTGCTTATGTGGTGCTGGGGAATCGAACCCAGGGCCTCATGCATGCAAGGCAAGCGCTCTACCACTGAGCCACCTTCCCAGCCCTCAGGAGATTCTTGTGTTGTCTCTTAACTCTTGCCTTCAGCACCACCAGCAAAGTAGCCACCAAGGACACTTGCTGACGAGATCCTTCCCTAGGAATAATTGTCAGTATCTACTTAGATACTGATCACACAGCCCCTGCTAGCAAGTTGGCCTGCTTGAATCTGTGTGTGGCTGGGAAAATGCCATTTTAACGGGGGAGGACCAGTCCCTTACTTGGGATCTCAATGTCATTCCTTATCTTCAGAGACCTAAATCTATCCTCCTTTTCCTGCTGTTACTGCTCTCTCCCAACATCCATGTTCTGGCATGTTCTAGGTGCATTCTAAGCTCTTCCATCTATTGAAAGAGTTCATTGTCCCTTCATATGCATACACCTGCTCTGTTCTCCAGTGCCCTGCCTCTTCTTCCTTTTTAGGCAAGCTTTGGAGAAATTCCTTTTGTTTATTGTCACAAACTTCTTTGATTCGTCATCTGCTTTGGTTTGGCTTCTGGTCACACCACATTATTAAAACGCCTCTTGCCACTGACCTAGTTGCTAAATTCAGTGGCCACTTTCAGGCTTCATTTTACTCAACTCTTCAGTGGCATCTGATCCTGTTACCCATGCAGTTATGTTTTTGTTTATAAATATAATTTTATTGTTACTATTAAGAGGTTGTAACAGAGGGGTTACCATTTCATAAGTCAGGTAATGAGTATATTTCTTTTTTTGGACAATATTGTTTTACCCCGGTTTCCCCCTCCCATTCCTGCCCACAATTACATAGGCCATTTTCCACATAGTGCATACTGAACCCACTTGGTTTTGAGTGAAACTCTACTCTCTTGACTTGTGGGGAAATAGTCTCCTCTAGTTTCTTTTCTTTTCCCCTTTCCCCTTCTTTTTCCCTCCCCTTGCCTCTCCTTCATTTCCATCTTCCTTTTTCCTTTCCCTTTTGGATTACTCTGTGTGTGTGTGTGTGTGTGTGTGATGGTCAGGGGAGTTGAACTCAGAGCCTGGGTGCTGTCCCTGAGCTTCTTTTGTTCAAGGCTAGCTCTCTACCACTTGAGCCACTCTACCACAGTGACACTTCAGCATTTTCTGAGTATAGTTTATTGGAGATAAGAGTCTCACAGACTTTCGTACCTGGCTTCCAACAATGATCCTCACATCTCAGCCTCCTGAGAAGCTAGGATTACAGTCATGAGCCACTAGCACCTGGCTCACGTTACTTTTTTTTTTTTTTAATTTTGTAGTCCTCTAAACGTTGGTCATAGTTTTAGTTTCTTTTCTTTGTTTTTGTTGGTTGTGGGGCCTGAACTCTGGGCCTGGGCACTGTCCCTCAGCTCTTCAGCTCAAGGCTAGCCCTCTATCACTTGAGCCACAGCACCACTTCTGGCTTTTTCTGTTTATGTGGTGCTGAGGAATCGAGCCCAGGTCCTCATGCATGAGAGGCAAGCACTCTACCACTGAGCCACCTTCCCAGCCTTCGGATTACTTTTTATTTTGTATGTGTGTATGCCTGTACTGGGCCTTGAACTCAAGACCTGGGTGTGTCTCTTAGCTTTTTCCCCCAAGACTGGCATACTACCACTTGAGCCACAGTTCCCCTTCCAGCCTTCTGCTGGCTAATTAGAGATTAGAGAGTTTCACAGACTTTCCTACCTGGCTGGTTTCAAGCCAGGATTCTTAGATCTCACCCTCCTGAGAAGCTGGTATTACAGCAAGCCACCAGTGCCTGGCTTCTGTTTCCTTTTCCTTCTCATTTTTGCAGTGCTGAGGATTGACCTCAGGGCTTTGTGCATGCCAAGCAAGTGCTTTGTCACTGAGAATACCCTTAAGCCTGTTTCCACCTATGGAGCTCCTTTTTGACTCCCATCCTTTACCTGTGGTGTTACTCAGGGAGCTGCCTGAGACCTCTTTCTAGGCAATGTCATTTATACTCATGGCTTTACCCACATTCACCCACCAGTAACTCTGACTTTCACTCCCAGGTTATGCGCTAGTGAATTCACCAGCCACTGATTGATGACTGTTGGCAGAAGACACAGGACCGCAGGGTTGGAGACTGAGGCTTTATTGCTCCAGGCACAGCAAGTAGCCTGAGCATCAGAATATTTCCTCCAAGTCCCACAGGGGTGCTGTGATGGCCCAGATGGATGCTCCTTGTGCAGTTGGTTTGCATCAGAGCTAGGAAACATGGAACTTGGAGATTCTACTGCTTATATAGGTAATAGTAAGCAAGCCTGTGCTTTGTCCTACA